GAGGCCATGATAGTGCCTCTCAGTTTGATCAGTCTTGACAGACAGTTGATATATAAATGAAGAAATTCAGATGTCTAACATAGGTGGGAAATCATTTAATTTAACTAGCTATTAAAGAAATTAATTAGCCTTTTAATCACTTGTTTGGGCAGACGATAAAAATGAATTGTGTTGCCTGGTTTGGGCACCTGCATTCACTATTTCAGAAAAGGGTCATTAAATTAAGAGAGCCTTTCCTGGGTATTTTGGTGCTTTGTAACAAGATGAAGAAATGTAAATCCTTTAACCCTGCTGCCCTACTTCTAGAAACTAAAAGCTAGGAATTTATTTAACTTAATGGATTAAGGACATTCCAACGTTTGTATACAAGAGTTGCAGCATTGTTTGAATGGTAATACTTGAAAATAACCTAAGTATTTTAATGAAAAGGATTGAAGCAAATTATTATCTTATTAAGATTTTTATGGTGTAGTTAAAAAAAGATGTGAAATATCATGACTGCCATATTAAGATATTTGTTGTCTACTAATAAGTGGAAAAAAAACCAATTTTCTAAACAATTGTAAGGTCTGAAATTTTTTTTAAGAAAACTCAAATACATTAAAAGGTCATTGTAAGGGAGTTTAAGGGGGTCATTTTAAGGTTATGAAGGGCGTTTCTCAGGGGATTACTAACCCATAGAGACCTCCAGATTTGCCACAAGGGTGATAGTATAGGTGGAACCTTAGAGCAGTTCTGAATTCCTGTGTCCTGCCAACTTCTGTGGAGGGGCTTCTCCCCAGCTTCCAAGCAAAGCCTTTTTTTTTTTTTTTTTTGCTGCCTTAATATAGCTGTTACTGTTTCCTATTGACCTATGGCTCAGTAAAAAGTGGGAGGGACAAGTGACAATTCCTGGTCTGACTAGGTGCCAGGGGACCAGTGGAGAGAAGTAAAGACAGCACCAGCTTTCAAACCTGAATCTCTAGAGGATTTCTTGTGGCTATCTTCAGCTCTAGGGGCCTGGTAGTGACCTTCAGAGCAGGAGCTGCTGCATCTATCGAGGTATAGTGGGGCAATAGAAAGAGCCAGGGTTCAAAATCTAGCTCTTCCTCTTACTAGATATATTCCCATGGGCAAGTTTTTCCATCCCTTTGAGCTGCAGTTTCCACAGTTGTAAAATGGGAATAATGATATGTTCTCATTTATGAACCTGTTGCCAGGATTAGAGAAGACAGTTTAAAGAATTTGGCACATGCTCCTATTTAGCAAGTGGTAATTGCTTCCTCTTTCCCCTAACCTCTACAAGTCAAATTTTCTTCATGACTAATGAATGTAGACAGCTAGTTTTGAAAGGAAACAGGAGGCAGACAATAGAGCTCTTCACACAAACCGCTTTCTGTAAGAGTCAAAATTGGTCTTGTATCCATCTGAAATATGGGCTTTGTAGGATGGTGGGAATATCAGGAATCATGTGAGTCTTCCAGTGTTAATAATGTCAAGGCTGTTTGTAAGCTACAGAGAAAGTAAATAGACACATCTGGTCCCCAGTGTATGGCGGCAAATATGGGTATAGCTTAGCAACTGGTTTAGCCGTAGAATCGTAGCAGACTTTGGGCCCTTGACCCTTTAGAATCTAACACAGAGATTGCACGTTTCAGAACCCTAAGTTCTGGACAGAGGAATGACCTATCTTGATCTGTTCTCCAAGGGTTTCCCACCACTTTGTCTAGCTTCAGAAACATTAAAAAGCCCCACAGCCTTTGTAGAGATGTTCTTCTATTGATCCTTTTCTCCAGTCAGGTAAAAACTAGTTTTACTATTGAAGTTACTGCTATTTGGAGTAAGAAAGTTAAGTTGGGGTTGTGGCATGGATAACAGAGAGAGTAGCAGTATGGTCTTTTTAAATGTATGCTTTCAGAATTCCAGTCATTGGAATGATTAGTCTCATTTCTGAGCCCACAGATTTGTAAACTTCTGCAGGCAGGTAAGTAGTATGTTTCTTATTAAACAGAGTATTGGGCTGGGGATGTGTCTCAATGGTAGAGTGCTTGCCTAGCATGTATGAGGCACTGGGTTTGATTCTCAGCACTGCATATAAATAAACAAATAAAATAAAGATTCATTAAAAACTAATAAAAAAAATAAAAAAAAAAACCAGTATGACAGTTTTGTGTTTTTTTCTCCTGGCTAGCTTCTCACTTAGTGGCAGTTACTAACAAATCTTTTGCATTTGTGTGGCACTTTATCTTATATGCACTGTTACCTCCAAAACTAAGGCCACCATGCCAGTGCGGCCTGCTTTACTTGTACAGATTCCTTGTCTGTGCCCTGAAGGCATTTTGGTTGTGACTCTAGGAATTCCCGCTCCCTGTGCTACCTACTGCTTCCTGAATTGGGTGTAAAATCTCACCTGGTATCCCACAGCTTCCAGTAGTGATTCTCAAACTGACCACTTGGGAAGCTAAAATGGTGATTCCTGCCCTTTCGTCTGTCTGTTCTGGTCAGTGTGGTACAAGGGGTGGGGAGGGAAGTACTCAGGCATTTTTATTTTTAACCGGAAAGATGCCCAGGTAATTATCATACAGATGGACTAGGATAAGTACTTCTATAAGCATTAGGGATGTTCCATCCTCCCTGGCTGGATTTTTTTTAAATTTAGTCTTCATTTCATAATTCCTGGAGAAGGAAGTTGGCCTAGATGAAGTCAAATACCTTCTCTCACTACTGCCAAGTGGCAGCTGCTGCCAAAATCATGTGAGATGAGGTAAAACAAGGAGTTCCAAGGAAAGGGGCTTTGCAAAGAACCTCCCTTTCTTGAACTCGGCATTGTCTGATACCTGTGCCATGTCCTGTTGCCTGCTGCACTGGTAACTCCAAGAAGACAGAATACATTTCTCAACCAATTGCTTCTTCCCCAAACCACCTAGTACAGGCTGCATACTGTTTATTGAAATGCTTAAGACCAGAAGAGTTTCAAATTTCAGATAATTTTGGATTTTGGAATATTTGCATRTGCATAATGAGATGTCACTGGAACAAGACCCAAGTCTCAAAATTAATTTCACTTAATGCTTCATATGTACCTTATACAGGTAGCCTAAAGGTAATTTTAGACAGTACTTTTAGCGTAACAGTGTTTTCATGTGAGGTCAGGTGTGGAATTTTCCACTTATGGCTCTATGTCAGCACTCAAAAAGTTTGCTTTTTTCTTCATTTTGGATTTCAGATTCTTGGAATAGAGATATTCAATGTGTACTAGGCCTTGTACAGAAGAGAAGTACAAATTTTATTTTAAAATTTTAACTAGGTTTTTACTTTTTGTTGTTATTTGTATTCATAGCTAAAAGAAAAAGGCAAAAACTAAAAACTATGTCTTCATCCCAGTCTTAACTTCCAGGTCTGTGTTCCTCTTAAGGGAATCAGTCCCTGTTATGTCCTTAATGAAGGTAAACTCCTGTCTATAGAGACAAGGCACACTTGTAACATTTTATCCTCACAAACAGTCCTTTATATTACATGGTGCTTTTTCATTTTGTAATAATATATTGATCCCTTCCGTATAGGTCATTCCATAAATATTTTGAATATGTGAGTAATATTTACTCATATAAACTTTGGGAAAGCAGGACAGTGTTAACTATTCTTACCTTAAATTAGACTCAGGCAGGAGGATTGTAAGTTCAAGGCCAGCCTTAAAAACTGATGAGGCCCTAGGCAACTGAGAGAGACCTTATCTCAAAAAAAAAAAAAAAAAAAATTGGGAAATGGATTGACTAACAGGTTTTTTGCTCAAGAGGTAAGACCAGAAAAGCAAGTCCTCTGACTCCCACCCCACTTCATTTTGCTCTGAGTTATGTAATTATTTAAACTTGTTCTTTATCTATGTAGTAAGGGTCAGGAACATTGTCTTCTACTGTTCACTGCTTGTAATTTGTAAAGAGATATCTGAGAAGTTCTGGGGTAGAGGGTCCTCTGTAAACATATCTGGGGAGTTTAGACCTTTATGCTATCACAGATACTTTAAAGATGGTCTGATGTTCACGAGGCCTTGAGTTCAATCCTCAGTGCTTAAAACAAAAAGATTGCCGATGTCAACATACTAATGCCACCATATGCCAAAGCAAATCAGGAAGATTTCTAATTATGGTGTTCAGGTTTAATAAAAATGCTGCAAAGACTGGTTGTGTGCCTGTAATCCCAGCAAATGTGGGAGGCTGAGGCATTCAAGGCCAGGCAGCCTCAGGAACTTGGCATGACCCTTTCTCAGAATAAAAAATAAAAAGGGCTATGGATGTAGCTCAGTAGTAAAACACCCCGGGTTTAAGTCCCAATACCAAAAATAAATTAAGTAAAAATTAAAATGTTGCAAAAATAGTTATAATAGAAAATATATAAGTACCAAAAATGACTTCTGTCAAGTCTCCATTTATGTTCAGATTTTATGTAATTGYGTGTTTATTTTTTTTTAATATTTTAGAAGTTTTTTTTTTTTTTTAGAGAGAGGGGGAGAGAGAGAGAGAGAGAATTTTTAATATTTATTTTTTAGTTATCGGCGGACACAACAACTTTGTTTTGTACGTGGTGCTGAGGATCGAACCCAGGCCGCACGCATGCCAGGCGAGCGCGCTACCACTTGAGCCACATCCCCAGCCCTGTAATTGCATGCTTAATTATATAAAATTACGAGTCCATCTCAGAAGTCTGTTCACATTCTCATGGTCTTCTGTGAKACATATCCTTCATTTCCCTTTTGCCCAACTCTTAACAGAGGAAGAATATTGGGAAGTTGTAGAAATAGGACAAAAGAAGTTTATGGTTTTGTGCTATCTAGAGAGATAAATGCTTTCACAGTAGCTATACAGAAGCCCATTACATTTGCTAAGAGTGTCGTTCTTGTCTTCATTTAATTCCCCTCATCCCTGAATTTTGAGAAAATAACAAGTATAGAATCTGTAAGTGACTGTGTGCTGTAATCGTTGAAAGAAGGCCCAACTTCGAAAGTAACAAGTTCTTTTTCTTAGGGACACGTGACTATCAGTAATCATGAAGAACCCATTTTCACACCTTGCTGAGCCTTTGGATCCTGCACAACCAGGAAAGAAATTCTTCAATTTGAATAAATTGGAGGATTCAAGATATGGTAGGTGCATGGCTCTATAATGTATTTTCTCAGATAGCAATTGGGATTCATTTGCATAATAATTAAGCTATATTATTAATTCACTTTGAGGAGCATTGAAAGAGGGAATAACAGAATGGCTGAATGTTCTTGGATTAAGCGCACACACACACACACCTTTCCTACATTGGTTATTTTTAGTTACATGTAACTTTATCACATCATAATATATAGTGTTTGTAGATAAATAGCCTATGATTTTATGTGAGTAATAACCACATGGGGTCATGTTTATAAAATGCAAAAAGTCCTGAGTGAGCTGAGGCCCAGAGTGAGTCAATGATGTGTGCTCAGATAACAAGTGTGGGCAGCAGAAGAGGACAAGAACACAAGTTATTTTTATTCCAAATMCTGGAATAAAAAACTTTATTTCAAAGCTTTTTCCTCTCTTTCACTGTCTTTTTCAGATAGTATTGGTAAATAATTTTCATATATCAAGATTTAACTTCTGTTTTGTAAATAAACAAAATATGTTTTCTTATGAATTACCATTGTTTTGTCCTAGAAACTCCAGTTACCAATGATAGTGCTATGTAATGTTTAGGGTTTTATTTCATATCAAAGATTCTATGGACTCAATTATAGTAATTGTAAAAGGATTATTTTTTCTCATTTTTTGAGCATTACTTTTCATAAGAAATGTTTTTCCGTGCAAGTATATGAACATATGTAATACTTGCCAACATAATACAGTGAAAATCTAGACTGATAGTGAGATGTGATGACTCTGTTATTGAATCCAAGGCAAGGCAACCTTTAATAGGAGGGAAAAAATAAACTGTAATATTTGGGTTTTGACTAATCTGAGCATTTTCTACTACTGAATGTCTCTTAAATCCACTCATTATCTTGAACTGTCAGCTAATTTACCCTCTTAACCTGTTGGAAGAATGATCTGATGCCTCATCTCAAGTTTGCATAATGATAGGTTTTAAAGAGCATTCTTATGGTATCTCATGTTTTTTTTTTGTTGTTGTTGTTGTTTTCTAATGCTTCCTCCTTTATTCCCAGTACGCTTACCATTTTCAATCAGAGTTCTCCTGGAGGCAGCTGTTCGGAACTGTGATGAGTTTTTGGTGAAGAAAAATGACATTGAAAATATCCTAAATTGGAATATCATGCAGCATAAGAACATAGAAGTACCATTTAAGCCTGCCCGTGTCATCCTACAGGACTTTACGTGAGCCTAATGTCACTTCTTTCTTTACTGCTCCTTTGTCAGCCTTTCAAGAAAATTTTTATTATTTTTATTTTTAATCCAACCAAAAAAATCTCTGTAGTGATTGTTTAATTTATCACCTAATATCTAGACACTTTCAAAAGAAAAAGGGGGTTCTTGTTCCTGGCAGCAAGAATAAACTGGGATTGTCTCAGGCGATCCCAGATGTGCTGTCTACCCACTTTTCCAGTGGCAGTTGTCATCATCCTTGGTTTTGAAGATCTAGTCCTGAGTATCCCAGGGAAAGGTAAAAGAAAGTGTGTGGAGCAGAGCTGTCCTGGAAACTTTTGCCCAGGGAGCCAGGTTCCTGACAGCTATACTTGAACATTCTGGTTCTGTCTGTGAGGGACAATATGTACTTCACAGGCCTGACTATTAGTCCACATCCTGCTGTTCCTAGGAATCCTTGCTTCCTATCACATTCCCTTTTCTGAGACAGTCTTTCCATTTTTAAATGATACCATTTTTTTCCAAACAGCCTAATTTCATTTTTCTGGAGGAAAATCACCAAATTTTATACTTTTAAGATAATGGAAGGATTCACTTAACATAAATTTGATTCACAGCCTACTTTTCTAAATTACATCCATTCTTTTAAATTTGGCTGAAGTTGAAGGTATAGATGATCTGTCTGTCTTCTCCAGGTCTTTATATACCCACCATGAGAGTGGGAAATGGTCACAGCAGTAAAAGCTCCTGAGTGTATGTGCCAGCTTTCCCAGTTTCTTTGTTTAGACCTAATTGTCATTAAACTTAATATAGTGGTAAAATTGGATGAAGACCCTTAAGTCATAGCTATGTGACTATGTTAGCTATGTGACTTCTATTGGAGGAAATATACTTAGAAACTTTCACTTTTCTAAGTTACCTGTTGTTATCAACTCTGACAAGGTAGTCCCTCATCAGTCTTCAATGGTGGCAAAAATTGCAAAATCTGATTATACCTGTTTAAAGCTATTTTCTGCTTAATTCTCTCTTTCTTAGGGGTGTGCCAGCTGTGGTTGACTTTGCTGCAATGCGTGATGCTGTGAAAAAGTTGGGAGGAGATCCAGAGAAAATAAACCCTGTCTGTCCTGCTGATCTTGTAATTGACCATTCTATCCAGGTTGACTTCAACAGAAGGTAAGGAAGGATTAAGATGAACACCTGGGGCTGGGTGTGGTGGCACACACCTGTAATCCCAGTGGCTCAGGAGGCTGACAGGAGGATGGAAAGTTCAAAGCCAGCCTCAGCAAAAGCAAGGATTTTTTTCATCCATTGGAGTTTTATTCCTTTTTGAGCCCAAGTAAATTTCATACCTGGTTGTCTGTGCCTCTCCATGTGGGTTTTCATAGTGTCTACCCTTTTCCCCCCCACTTGTTTTTCTTCTGTTTTTTGGGATATCCTCTCGTGTCCTGTCCAAACCCTACATGTCTTTCCTGGCCAGCTTAAATCCTCTTCTTGTTAATCTCATAGACTTAGTTATTTCTTCAGTGGGCCAGGATTAATAGTGCTACATGTTCTTTGCTTAAGTAGTATTTATTTACCTTTAAAGTTTAGTAAGAGGCCAGGCCTAAGTTGCTAGTTCACAAAAGTATACTTGCATATTAAATTTTCTTCTTTGAAAAAAGTGGTTTTTTTAATTTAATTTTTCCCTTTTTATTGTTGATTATTATATATAACAGTGGAATTTGTTGTTACACATGCACACAATATAATAGTATAATTTAGTCAATTTCATTCCCTAGTAAAGGGTTTTTTTACTAGGACCTTTTAATACCAATATCTTTTGATGCCAATGGTGAGAAGACAGATAAAAGAGAATCCCAATGTCTTGGGGAATTTAGTTTCTCCCTTTCTAAAGGAATTATAACTACTTTAACTTAGCCATCAAGATTCTCATTTAATCCAAGGATAACTTCAAGGTCACCTGGCTTAGTATGTTAAGTACCTATTACACTCTCAGCTCTCATATTTGGAGAGCAAACACTTACCAAGGCAATAATCAAGTAGTAATGGTCAATTTTCCTGATTCAATTTATTTTAATGAATTTGTATCCCTCAATCTCATTCTCCCAAAGACTTTTCTTTAAATGGCAGGTGTTCATAGTGAATCTTTGGCTTAAAATAGCATCAGGACATTAAACATCATGCATTCCTAGTTTCCTTTTGTATACACACCAAAAAAATCATTAAAAAATAAATGACACAAACAGCTGGGTGCAGTGGCTCATGCCTTTAATCCCAGCAGCTCAGGAGGCTGAGGCAGGAGGATTGAAAGTTCAAAACCAGCCTCAGCATCTTAGTAAGACCCTGTCTCAAAATTAAAAAAAAAAAAAAAWTWAAAARGGRWKGGG